TTAAACTATGTAGTCTTTGCAAAAGACTATATTTTATATACATCTTATACATCAGATAAATCATCTTATATTTATTATTTATAAAATAATTTATATACAAAAATAAAATGCATATTAAAGAATTTGTTTAATAACACGTTATCTGTGTATTTATATATAGGTATATTTATGAAATTAAGTTAATATAAAAATATTTATTTTGATATAAAACAAAATATGGATAGGTATTTATTTTTATATATTATAAAGTATAATTATTAATAAATTTTGAATTAATAGCGTTTGCGTAGTGAAAAAAAAAACAAATTATTAAAAAAATGGTTATATCCGGATATATTTAGACCTAAGTACTTTTGGCATTACCCATTTATAAAGGTATATAGGTATATGAATACATTCTACTACTTATTTCATGCATCTTCTTTTTCTTGAACATTAATAACTTTATTATTTCTATTGCTATTAACTATTAGAAACAAGCTCAGAAATAAACAGTCAACACATTTTACTTCCCTATACCTAAATTATACAAAGCCGATCTGTCTGCCCTAAATAACGATTCTGATATTTAGAATTTTATATTGAATAAACTCAAATTAAAATTAAAATATGGGTAGTTAAAATTTTATGTATTGCGTTAGTTAATTTGTTAGTGACACAAAATATTGTTGTGGTGCAATGCACCTTCTACCACTCTTCGGACGTTACTGATTTTATATACTTTCATTTGTAATTATTTTTATATTATTATATTTCAATTTTAAAATATTGTTAATCATATTTTATGTTAAATGAGATACTTTGATGTATTAATTTACCCTACTGTAATTCGTTATTTAAAAAACTATACATGTAAATTGTTGGTGTTAATGATAAAGTCAAATATATATATATATATATATATATATATATATACATAGACATAGACATAGACATATATATTTCAGCAAAAGTGTTTTGAATATATATAATATATTTTATACGAAGGAAAAGCTTATTAAGTTTTCAATTGGGTTCTAAATTTTATTTGAAACAATCTAAATGTTTTCTGAATGCATAGAAATTATTGAAGGCGCCATAATATAATGTTGTTTATTAAGTATGTAAATTCGTTTTACCGCAAACCCAGTTAATGATTACTATGAAAGGACCGAGACCCTTTTCCATACTTTCCTCTTATTAAAAGCCGTTTAAATACCTTCTTGTGTTACTCAAGAAAATACGAGGTAATAGGTGTAAATTACTCAGTATGAGATTTACTTTGTGTATCTCATATTCCATAAAATGTAATGCCCAAGAAATACTACGAAAAGTGTTAACAGGTATATATACATTATTTAAGTTTAAAAGTTATAATGGTTAAATGTTCCAGTTAATGTTGACAGAAAGAACAAAAATGGAAATTAATGAGACTCGTCTTGTGTTTGGGTCAAACAAAAATCGGACTCCTGATAATTAAAGCATTGCGCACACATAAATTTTAGAAAAGGATATAACTAAATGAATGTGATAACAAATGCTTTTATGGAGAAGATGACAGCGGTTAGGACCAAAAACAGTTAATGAAGGAAAAGGAGCAATTTCGAAAATTCAATGCACTAGACACGATTACCGTGAAAATGTGGTGGCTTAAGCATTTACGGAAGTTAACCGCTTTATTTTACTCTTAGACTTAAAATAGTACGTATTGTGGATAAAATGTAATTGTAATAGAACTGTACTTTTTACCGGCAAATAAAATAATGATAAATGAAGAGTAACGGAGATAAACCGTAATAGTCCATTTTTTTTTTCAATTTGGAATTTATGATTTGATTTGATAGTCCGTTAGCAGTAATATCAAGTAATGAAATCCATTCGATGAAAAATGAAAACAATTTTCTACTATCTAATTGTCTATTTTTGTTTTATGAATAAAAAATAGAAATTTACAAATTAATTATTGCTGCCTTGGAATTTTTTTTGAAAAAATTAATTTTCGACTGTTACCATTTTTTCCCCAGTACCTTTCAAATTTATAACAGCTATCATCATTCACGCGGATTTAATTTCCTTTAAACACTTAATAACGATGTAGTTCTTTGCAATAAAAAAAATTATACTGCTCAGTGTTGAAAAAATATAACCAAAAAATCAAGAAATGCAATTAAGGTAAATTTAAAAATCGTAATTTTAGTTTTAAAAATAATAAAACTAAAATGCCTAATATAATTAATAATTAAAATAAATAGTCTTTTATCTACATAAAATGTAATAAATTCTCTACAGTTCAAATTGTTTTGATTATTTTATATTGCCATTATTAAACATTTGATAACGATAAAGCATGAGTAAGACCTTAGTTTGAACTAAATGTAAAAGGCAGTAAATACTTTCTTGGAATTTTTTTCTTCAAAAAATCACAAGAATTTATACAATTTAAGATAATCGTTTTCATAATATTTATTTATACACCATTTTAATAGTAAAAAATGTTTGCTATAAATGCGAACATTATCAACACTTTTTAATTTCTAACAGCAAATACCTAATCAATGAAAAACATAACTTTTGCTTGAATGAAAAAAATAAGAAGAACGAAACCAAGCGATAAACTGATGAGAAAAATGACTACGATAAAAATGCGGTCTGCAAAATAATAAATAAACATTCTGTTAAATTTCGCGCCAAAACTTTTACATATATAAATGTATATTGCGAATTCCGATAAGCCATAATATAGTCACAGCTTTTTTTAGCGTTGCACAAAAAAGTTTACATAAATAAATAAGAAGATAAAAGTAACTATAGTAATAATAAGAGAAATAACACATTGTATTTATACACATTTCTAAGGCCTGGTATCTCTCTCGAGGAAATTTATCACACATTTGAGCGTTGAGAAGTCCTTTTATACCGCCACGCATAAGGACCATTGTCCTGGACCGGCGAAACTTTTCGAATTTGAGATATGTAGTCTGCTGGCGTACTTGACTGGAATACGTAATACTTTAGAGGCTTCGGGGATAATCATCTTCTTGGATGTGACAAGAGTTACGATCAATGTATTGTAGCTATTTCTTATTTTTTTATTATTATTATTATTTTTGTTTCGCCCGACAAATTTTATATTTGTATACAAAAAGTAAAAGGCTTAGTGTTCTATCCAACACATCAGATTGCGCGGCGGAGACGAGTGGAAGTTTTGCACGGAATATAGTAGTCTGAGAAACGTGAAATAAACCCCTGGAGTGTTAATAATATTATTCATCTGGCGCAGACATATATAAGTTCAGAATCACGAATCAAATCGTCAACGGCAAACGAAATAACATGAAACGTAGATGGTATTTTGATTGGGCACCGACTACATGTCTCGACTCTTGTATTCGGTAAGAGCAAAACATTATTGCCCCAAACGTCTTCGATATATCCATTCGATTGTATTTATTTTGGTGTATTTTTATATCATCTATACTATTGCTAACTTGGCGTGTACAACACGCCATAGTATTTTCTCAAAAAAATTGTCTTGAAAACAAATTGATTTTTGAACGTCTCGATTTTAAAATAACACAACTGATATCGAAATAATTGGCTTGCGTAATATCATTAAAAATAACCAAATCGTTATAAAATGTTTCGTTATTGTATATTAATCTAATGTTGATTGACTCGATCAAAACTTGTACGACAATTGCTCTAGATAACCGCCGCGTTTAAACAAATAACAGAAAACTTCATATTAGTGCGAATATAACTGAAATTCTCATTTTTTCATGGAATTTGTTTCCATCTGCTTGAAATTACCATTTACTGAGCGGGCATGTTTTTGACAACGTTGTTATTATTTGAGAATAGTTTGCATTTGAAAAGTTTCTCATTAAACAAGTTTATGTATTTATTCAATATGTGTTCATATTTATACACTTACACGCCTCAAATAAGTGTACACGAACGAGTATATCATAGAGCACTTTCTGTTTGACAAATGGTTCCTGTCAACTCTGATCGTAATAACTTTAACAGTCGATCCGTGTGACTAAATATTTCAACCGCAAAATGCTAGTTTAACTATCTACTAAAGGGTATTTATTTGTAAACACACCATGAGTATAATAAATAATATGTCGGCACTAGTTGGCGGTGTGTGCATCTATTGAACTATTAAAAAATAATGACAGTGATAAAAGTTAAATCTAATATTTTATAATTGAAATTAGTCCTTTAAATGAATAAAATCAAACAGATGTTTCTTTGAAAAAATAGTGAGTCAGAGTGTTAGAAAGTACAATTGAAATGCTCTTTTTTACTTAGTATCAACTATTTGTAAATCAAGCAAACGACTTGCACGTAATGAACATAAATTGCTCCGCTAGAACATTTCCTGTGATTCGTTGTGACTTACAATTATTTAAACAAACTATTACAAAGTAGACTGCACATTAAACACTTCCGTAATCACTGTTATTGCGTAATACTGCAAGCATCTAAACTTACAATCAATGTACTCTACTGTATTTATTACCACAACAGTTGATAAAATATTTTGTTGTGTTCGTCCATAATTGATTTAATCTACTGCCAAATAAAATTCATCCAACACAATTAATGCATTTAATAACGTATTAATGGCGCTTTTTTGTTCTATGATTATATGGTCAGGTGGTAATACGATTGACCGATTAGATGAACAAATAACCCCAACTTATCTTTACTCAGTAAAACGTTTCTAACGCTATTCCTGTGAAATTCATCTTTTTCGATCATTTAACTTTATATTCAGTTTAATATGTCCATTGATTTATACTAAACTGTTAAGTTGGTAAATTTGAAATTTTCCCAACTTCGTAGAGAACAATCAATTATTTTAAACTATTCCAAACCTATGATCATTTTGGTACAAGAATTTAAAAATTAGACGGCATACAAATTCGTTTGCGCCAAACTGCGTTTATTTTAAAATGTTCACCAGAAAAGCTAAAAAGTGCAGTTATATGTATATAATATTAAATAAATACCTCATAAACAGCTCCGAGTGGCATGACCAAACAAGCCACCATTAGATCGGCCACAGCTAGAGAAACTATGAGGTAGTTGGCAACGTTTTGCAAATTCCTCTCTAACAGAATGGCTGCTATCACCAGTGCGTTACCTGGAAAAGACAAGTTTTTAATAAACATAGAAGTACTACCATGATTAATTTGCAAGTTGATTTACTACGAGGCAGAGAATTTTTCGGCACTCGCGTTTAATTACCGAGTATGCGACGAATTTCGACCCTTATTTAGTAACCAAATTACGTTCGTTTCATAAACTCCACCTTGTGAAATTTCAGCATAATTCTAATTTTCTTTGACGTACAATATAAAAATACATTTATGAAAACTTTGAAATTATTCTTAGTTTTAGTATATGAAAGCACACTATGCATGTATTTTATACTTAGTTGGAGGGGTATAAAGCGTAGGTTCCCCGAGGAGCTCGATATAATAGAATACCATTAAAACAAAAGTTGTATTAAAAAATTATTTTTAGAAAACAGCGCCATATTTTTCGCTACGAGGCACGAGAAAACCTCAGTAAAGTACTGAATGTAATCAGATTTACTTGATTTTAAATCCACTGAAAATAATTTACTTCTGTAGAACTCGTTATATTTTTAAACGCTAAAGATAACTTTCAATTAAATTATTTTAGTATCACCGACAATTTAATGGTAAATTTAGTGGGTATTTTATGAACATTTAATAATGAAATCGTTATCGTATGCGATGAGTATTCTACAATCGGCCGTATTTATGAAAACATCGGAATAGGTTATGCTGAAATTTGTGTCAAAATCAATTTCGGCAAAAATCGGTTATTTAAGATTAAAAATTAGTAATATTACGAGCAACAAAATTGAGCTTTTCGTGACATTTTATCATTGGTTTTCAGTTCAATATTGCTAGTCTACTTGTAATTAGTTATCTTAAACATTGTTGTCATTATTAAAGTCTTATATTACTTAGGAACTTAAAGGGTTAAGTGGAAATTGGTTGTTATGATTTTTTCAATAGCAATGTGGTTTCATACAAGGAAACCGAGATAGAAAGTTACGGTCTCATGGGAAATACGAACACGCTTGAATGTTGGTTTTATTTATTCGAACGTGTTACTGAATTAATTCACGTCTCTAATATTCCTTATCTTAAAAGTTTAACACTGGTAAGTTCGAGTAAATAGTATATTACTTGTCGTCGCTTAACCCAAACTTATTCAATTTGATTGCAATCGCACTTACGGCTTAGTGGTTATCGTGCAATTGGAACACCAAAATGACTACTCAATTCTTTGCAACGTTCATGCATCGGCGGCAATACTTTTTGCTAGTAAATAATTTACTGCTGATTTGACTCGTACAGCTGTGTAAGCCATCACATATATTACACGAGTTCAAAGTTTTAGTCTTTAGACCCCTTTTATTTTATTAATATACACTGAAAAACTCCCTGGTAAAATCAACACATTTTTTAGCAGTATACATTCAATAATATTTCCGTTAAATAAATAGTGTTCTTTTTATTGGTCAAACGATTTTTTTGTTGATTTAAAAAAAAATTTGTTAATTTGATACATTTTTTATTCTACTAACCAAAATAATGGTTACATTAACAAAATACTATGATTCATTTAATAAAAAGTTTATTGGACGTATTTTGATAATGCATTTGTTGATTTTACTATAGAATATTTTTTATTGTACCGAAATGACACTTCTGTGTTAATAAAATTTATTTAGATTATTTGAAAAATCATTAAATACAATAATACTGCTAAATTTGTAGGAGGTACAAGTGGGACGTTCTCACACCTTTCAACTACCCTCAGACTAACTTAGGCTTGAATCTTTCCTAAACGATATTTTTTAATCTGCCAATTTTTCAGTGTATGATGACGATAACTAAGTATTAAAATTAAGGTTTATATAATTTTCCTTACACGCTTTGGTTTGTAGAAAATACTTGTTTATTTTACTTCTTTGCGCGAAACTATTTCGTGTTCCGAAGATATAAAATTATTTTTAGTATTTTTAATTTCCGGTCAATTCTATCAAACTTGAACGAACACGGTTATTAATGTTGTAGTATTCGCCTAAAAAGATTTGTATTCCTATAACTAGTAATTATTTCACAATATAAATAATTAACACAATGAATGATAATTTTTTTCAACATTAATCAACAGGAAATCAGAAAGAATACATTATTTATGTACATCACATAACACCCACTAGTATTTCTGATCGTTTAAAACAAGTAATTTTGGTATAATAATTTGCATAACACTATAATTTTACTGTAAGCTATATTGGTTTAGAGTTAATGTTTATTAGAAATAAAGTTTGAGATCTTATTGCAGTAAAAGTAAAAAAAATTAATCGATTTTCTCTGATGTTGGTGCTCTAATTTTTTTTGTGCTAAAGTAGAGTAAATTATTACTTCTGTTTTATCTTAACGACTCGTTCACTCATCGCTGTGTTGTAATTTTTCACGTACATTTTTAGAGAAAACCCAGATAGTTTTGAACTTAACATTAACAGTAAGTCGTCGACTAACACATAATTGTTTTTGACTTTATTGTTCTTTCATTTAACATTAAATAAAATATACAGGTTGTTGTGCAAAACAAGAGTATATTTCAAAATGCAGATTTTTTTGGATTAACGGTATTGTAAATAGTAATTTAATTTTGTACAATAAGCTTGACCATTTCATTGTAATAATAAATTAACGTTTACCAAAATATAAATAAAGGTCAAAAACCGTTTAGACTATTTTAATTGGCCTTTGAAGTTCAAAGTTGAAAGTTAAACATGTGCAATGAATTAATTAATAGTATAAATTATTTGCTTTTTAAAGGAATTTATTTTAAAATCATAATAAAATCCTTGAATGAATACAAATAACCAATGTTTAATTTAGACAGAAAAGAAAATGCAAACAGTAGAGTAAAGGAAACTTTTAATAGCATTTTATATAAAGGTCAATTAAAATACTTTATTGGGAAATTGTTCAAATTTCACTTTTATTGTTATAAGAGTTCAACTGGTCAAAATTTATTTAAAGAACATTTTTTAACAGATTTATACAATAGTTTCTTTTGAAAAAATATATATTTATAGAAATATAATAGTACTACATTAAAAAAAAAACATTATAGCTTCGATACGTATCTGAGAAGCTTTTTAAAATTAAGGTGTTCAAACAAGTTGTTTGTATGAGTTTTTTTTCACTGTACACTTTGAAAATTAACGGAATATAATAGTTAAGTAGTACCTTGAGAATATACACTAAGTTAATAAAATCTATTAAGTTGAACCAACAAATTAAGTTAAAAATAACGAAAATATATTTTTTTACATGCACAATAAAAAATGAATTACAAATTGATTTAAATAATTATTTTATCATTAATCTTATATTAATTTTGACAATTTTATAAATGGTAAATTGTTCTCGCTGACAAATCTTTTCAGTCAGAATCATCAGATGTTTTCGTCTATTAGAAAAGGACTCTATTACTGCGATATTGTGAATATAGAAACTAGTATAAACAAAAATTCATTTGGAAAACTATGATTTAAGTAAAGTTTTTAAGTCAATAATATTTTTAAAAAAGACCATGTATTTGTTGAATAATTTTATTAAGGATTTCATATGGTTTTTAAATTTCAAGTTTTAAATCCATTTAATATTCTCAACGTATATTTAGAATAAAAATGAGTTAACTTTTCCAAACTCTTTAAATTCCGATTACTAACATTTTCTAAAAGTTTGAAATATTTCAAATAAATATTAGTTTAATGGGTTCAAAGATCTATGTCTTGCATAGAAAAACAAAATATGTATTACACGTACATAGTTTTATAAACAATAACTTTTCTGTTATGAATCCAAGCAAGAAATAATAAAACCATTTTACACAAAGTATACAGTAAATATACAGTTTAAACAAATAGTTCGATTGTGCTTTTAAGTTATAACTTGGAAATTTCAAAAATAAAATTTTTAGTACACATTTACTCGATGACGGTTAAACATACTATACCATTTAGAAAAGTTCTGGCTTATACAGTGTGTATCATATCTAACTGACAAAGCTTAAAGCTTTTGATTTAATTATAATAATTTCGTTAATTTTTTTACAATTATATCGTCAGTAGATTACGTTCAAAGCATATTTGTTAATTATAAGAAAAAATAATAGGAAAAAATATATGTAAATTTGTAAAAAAATGTTAAAAGATTGAAAATAGACAATATTTTGTCTTTTTTTTACAAAAATTTTTAATAGGGCGGATGGGTGTAGCCCATACTGGTGTCTGTATACTTCACCCGTGTTCTATGTAATAAAATTCTTGTAACATGATAATTAGTTGTCTTAAAATTATTAATATTAACACTTTTCATAATAAATGAAAATTTCGAAATTCGTAAGAAAAAAAATAACATTTTTTACTTGTGACAAATTTATGAATAAATAAAATATTTTTATATATACAATTAATGTTTTAAACGTAGTGTAAGAAGTCAATGTTTATTCAAAAAAAAATTCAACAAAATGGTTATTGTTTCAAAAGTTATACGCGTGGTCAGTTAGTTCAATGATTCTCTGTATGAACCTATTGGCTTCGCTTAACTTTCAGAAAAAAGCAAATGGAACATTCTTGGAAATCCTTCTTAATACTATTATTGTAACAAACGCATGCCGTAAAAGTTGCACTAACGACCTAATATGATCCTATATATTGCCCATTATTCCTGTTATGTTCTTTTTTATTTTGGGAAAAATCCTTAAAAGGTTCTAAACAAAATTGTGTTGTTGCTTAGTTTTCCACAATACTAGATAAGAGCTAACATTTTAAGCATCTCAAAAACAAAATACCGTCTCTATTAAATAGTTAGTATTATTTAAAATGTCTTTTCAATTTTATATTTATAATAATAGCTTATAAGTAATTTTCATTATTTGTACTTGTCTGTTTTCAAGTATTTATTTTAAATTGGTTATTCATTTATTTATAAAATACTCGAATCCACATTAATATTGATGTGACTTTTACAAAATGTTTAAGGACTATATTTATTATATTTTTATCTGTCCAAAATATAATAAATATATAATAAAAATACACTATATATAATAAAAGAACAATAACACTGAGTACATTTAATATTCTTTTTTGGAAATATAAGATAATTGTTAATAATCTATTTTTTAAAACCTTAAGAATTTCATAAACGGTATAACGAGTTTTCCTATCTCGTTGTGTTAATAATAATTTTAAATTTATTTTTGTATGATACATTTGAACTCGTTATAAGTGATTTAAAAACTTTTGTCTTTAATACATTTTTTAAATGAAAAAAATTGCAACTTAAAGAATTTTATTTTGGATGAGCAAACAAATCAGAAAAATTAAAATAGGTTAAATATGACTTACCACATATCGTTGTTAATATCATGGCCCCCAGGATGATACCGATAGTGATGATAAACACATAGTTTGTGAAGTCTTCATCGCTTCCTTTTATCAAAGTTTGGTTCGAGCCGTTCACGAATGGTTCAATGCTTGCCGTAGTGTTCATAAGAACCGTAACGGCTGTGGTGTTGAAGTCATATCCCGTCATAGACACGGACCGGATCGGCCGGAAGTAGTCACCTGGTCTAGGACCACCACCACCATCGTCATCTAACGCGGCCACTGATGGATCATCACCGGTGGCCACGCCGACAACACCACCGACAGCTCTTAAATAGTAGTTTGAACCACCGGATTCACCATCGTTGGCTGACCCTTTGGTGGCCGTGCCATTGGCGTGGCCACTTTCGGCGCCGCTGCAATAAAATGTTATCGCGTCGGCCGCCACCCGTAGCATGCAGCCCCGGCGCCCGCCAGCGCCTGAAGCCGCCACTGCGCCGAGCAGGGCCATTGTTTTTTTCACCTATTTCCTGTCACCCGCCGGATCAACATTCGTCATTAGCTATCTGGAAAAAATTAAATAAAAATAGCCATTTATAAAACAATTATAGCAAAAAACTTTACAGCCGGATCTTTAAAAATATGATCAATAATAATAGTTAAATTATTTAAATATAAGAATAGTATAAATTTTACAAGAAAATAAATGAATAAATTAGAAAATATCTATATAATCCTAGTGTAAATGTATCACTTATGAAAACCAAGGTAGTGTGTACTTCTACTAAAAATTAAAAAATAATAGTAATAATAAATGATTAATTCTTAATATAAAAATAAATAATAATAATAAATGACAATTGATACCATCAAATTAATGTTAGGTGTTTCATTGAATAGTACTCAGTTTGATATTTACTTTTGAGTTACAAGGCGATACAAGAGATGTTTTCACAACAACACTCACAGCACAACTACTTAAATATTCTCAAAACCTTCAAGATGAAATACTTACAGTCTATTATTGAACTTCTCAATCACAATAAATTAAACATGATTTTTTTATTTAGTGAAAAAGTAATACAAACCATACACAGGTTATTGTGTCTATTTTAAAAAACGTTTTATGTTTAAACACAAACACTAAATTTTTTGGCAAAGATCACTAAATCATTCGATATTATAAGTGAGAAAAACAGGTGCATTTGTCAAATGGATAAATAGATATTACCTATAATGTTATCTATTTTATTTTTAACAAACCATGTATTAATTATGTAGCTTTTTGAGCTAAAATATTGTACGATGTAGTATTATATTGAAGGAAATATAAGAATATCTAAATTTTACTTCAAACAAGAATATAACACTTAGTGTTTTAAATGCATAAGTACCAAAGTTATTTTAGAAAAAACGCATGTCGGGTTTTTATTATTAAAATTAATAGTAAAATAATTTTTGAAACTTTCTAAGTATAATAATTAAAACCAAATGATACTAATTACTTTTTCTTGGAGTTTGATTGGACCAGCTTTCTTATTGTATGTTTTAACATTACAAAGTACAATGTTCACTTCAAAAATGAGTTAAACATTGTGTATTGTAACAGGTGTTTGATTCCATCATTAATAAACTTTTATTTTCTTTTGTTGGCTTGATGCCATTTGGCCAAGTCATAAATTTATATATTATGTATAATATAATGTTTTGTAACACTTGAATTTCATAAGTATTTAAAAAATACCATGTACCATGAAAGTTTTTGTTGCGAGAAAATTAGTACTTACATGGGTTTTCATGAATAAATAGTACAATATTTTTTCTTATAAGTTACTGACTTAAAAATAGTTAAATGTCATTCTATTCATCGTACGAAACTATTTTAGGGTTTATATCAATCCAAACTAAAGACATTAATTTTCCAAGTTATCAGTTACCGGGTCTTACGTGCAAAATAGTTTATGCAAATTTTATGCCAAGTCGAGATTGATATCTAGGGAAATTTTGTTAAAACGGTTTCTGGAGCTTAAAATTTAATATTAATTTTCAAGTTTTTGGGTAATGCTTACCATTAAAAATAATAAAATAATACAATAAAACTGTCTTGTTGTACATTTTGTTGTACCGTAAAGTTTCCAATAAGTATACATAGAAATAGCATATCCAGTGTCTTCATATATGAACTTAGGTTCCAAACTAGTGTAGAATTTTCGAGTTGAACACGACTCATTATAGAAGTTCTCCATACACGTGCGGTATACAAAAGCTATAGAAATTAGACAGTACCGCAACAGAAGATTATTGATTTAGATTTCAAAGGATGCAGTAGTTTGTTTGCGTATCACTGTCGTTGTATAGAGATTTATTTTTCTGAATATGTATTATATTTTTGTGTACAATTATTACGATGATATTTTTTAAGCCCATTAAATGTATGTGCTACCTAATCAATCTTAATATTGCGCAGTGCTTTAATAGAATGGCATGTTGATTAATTTTTAATGTTTGCGTTAACCATTTCTTTGGTATTAATGCAAACAGCAGCTGAATGCGTCCCTAGTCTTGTGCCGTGAGAATTTAAATGAAGGGCTGATCCGTTACAGAATCTAAACGAAGGCGATTATGTGCAGGACTTTGTGGGTAATAAAACGACGACGTTAGAGCAACACGAGGAGTACTCGATTTAATGCATATGGTAGTTACTTGGTTTACAAAAGCAAAATAAACGTATCTTCCGGAGGTCTAACGCGTGTAATATAATCGTTAAAATGCGTTCGAGTTTCGCGAATATCATGTTATTATCATAACGTTGACGCTCGAAAACAAAATCAAATATTCAATATTCTTGTTGGATAGCGCAAACCACATTGCAGTATAAACTAATATTTGCATAAAACAGAGAACAATATATGGGTAAAACTCCTATAAGATAGGCTATTTTACAATAATCGATAGAAATCATTTTTTAATAAACTGAAATTGTTTTTAACTTTCTCTTGTTATGCACTTTACATTTTAAACATTTCTACATATTTACTCACGCAAAGTTCTCAATTTTTATTTTTATTTACTAAAGTCCTTAACTTAATATAATTTCTTTACTATATAATCATATTAAAATAGAGCTATATTATTGTACAAGATATAAAAAAATAGTACAGCAACACTCCATATCGTTTTTGAATAATGCAAAAGATTATACAATGTCTGTTTAAAACGAATTAGGTGTTATGATAATAGACTGTTTGAAATATTTCACATAAAGAGTTATCTTTTATTAGAAAAATAAAAGTAGCCAAGTGTGAAGAACATAACAATTGAAACGTCACTTTTATGATTATTAACGGATGTTTAAATAATATATCAAAGGTAAATCCTCTTCTACAGCTAGTAGACACATATGTAGTATTTAAATGAAGAAGTTTTACTGCTTCAACCGCATGTAATAAGTATGTTAGTGACAGTTTACCTTATGTTTCGATTAACTTTCAATGTATTGACAACCGACGACTGTCAAAAATTACAAATTATGCGCAACTCAACAACTTAATAACACACTGGAGTCTTACTTTTGTTTATTACCTTATTCGCATCCGTTAACCGTATCGAATTACAGTCTATTATATTTTAGTGATTTTATCTATTGTAAAACAAGAAAAACTGGTCCCTAAAACTCAACGCTGTCTATTTACGTTCATATATTTTTTATCTTATGAAGACTTAAGCTTATTTCCGGAAGAAAAGCAAATAAAACACGATTTGTAATTCAGCATAAAGTTTCATTTGTGATAATAACCAAAGAATTACCAATCAGTTAGCATAAAACTGTAGAATAAAAAGCTTTATTGAAAAAATGTGAATTAATAAAAAAATCGAATTGACTTAAATATTGTAACCTTAATTCATAACACGTTTACTTAAAACAATAACAAGCCGTTTTTAATTTCAACATGACCTGACACTATAATACGTATATTATGGAAGAATAAATTATTTTAATAAATAATTATAATTTTGAAAATTCATAAAAAAAAAAAGTTTTTATTTTAAAGTGAAATTTATAATGAAATGGTTTTTAAATTATTTATAATTTGAAATTGGACGGCTCATTATATAGGCAATTTTAATACATTTTTGTGTATTTTCACTTTGCGAAACATTGACAATTAAATATAACAATGTTATTATTACTAACCATTTGAAATGTTTTTTTTTCCTTGAATAGGATAGATAAATTTTATTATTTATAAAATACTTAAAAATATATTTTTTTATTACATGAAGAAGAGAGAAAATGTAATATTCATAACATTGCTGATATACATTTTAACATAACCGTTTTGTACATAAATGCTTTGTTCATCGTACTCGAGGGGTGGGTGGGGTGTATATTATGTCAAAGAAATTTAGTAGGTAATCTTCTATTATTCAGGAAATTGAACTTTTAGACTTATTTCTTTGTAGTTAAATTGAACTTAGTATTCATGAAACGTGTACTGGGATTCATTTCTATATATTATATGAACAAATAACTTGTTTTCAAATTTAAATGCGTTTGAATAACCTATAAATATTGTGATTATTTTTTTTCAACTTTATGGCTGTAATACTTGCAAACTTTCATAACAACAATTATATTACTTTTATAATTACTTTTTATTGCAGTCGATGAGTAGTTACTTTGTGGTTATTCTTTTATTAATCGTTATATTCTCGTTTAGACAATTAATATAATTATTGAGGAGCGGTGCTTGTTACAACAAAATATTTGTATGAATGACTTATATTGCAATGTTATAAATATGGATGATGGAATCTAGACTTAAAAAAATCATGAAGGAAAATCAAATAGGATTCAGAAAACAAAGAATTGGTTATTGAATTTGTTAAAGTTTAATGGTCCAATCGACTGGATCGGTATAACCTTCACTAGCTGTAAATAACGTACAACATGTTACCAGCCAACTCTTCGAAATTGTTCAGCCATGTGGACGGAGAAAAGAAGCTAACTGACCCAAAGATTAATGAAATGATACGGATATGGAATCGCTAGAATAACCAACATCTGATTGCGAAAAAAACAGTTTTACATTAACACGAGACCAAAGTTTCATTGTTAATCGTCGGCTATTTAGTTTTATTAAGGTAATTATTATAGTAGTACATAATCTGATTAATTTTCCCGTCACCGTGCTGAATGATATAGTACGTTTTTTATTTTTTTATTTGCTAAGTGTAATTGTGTTTGTTTTTTCATACGAAAAGAAATATATCCAATTGTTAATTAATAGTTTGAACGGTTTCTAAAAACAAAAAAGAAATTTATTGTACTTGTACATTTTCATTACATTATTATTGATTTTGTTATAAGCATGTACCTTATATAATGCCTGACCTATCATTTCTTATCCTGATACTGAATAAATTTTTGTATTTAATTTATTTATATTGATTTTACTGAATATTTATGGCCCAATGATTATTTATTTATTTTTATTTGTTCATAGTAATGAACAAAAATATATCGAAAACGTTTATTGAAAGTTGGGTAAATGTTAATTTATAG